GCAGTCTATTGTCCTAGAATATAGATCTTAACAGCTGAGGTTTGTTAAGGGTTTAATTAAGGATTAACTTGACAAATACCTCCCTTTCCCCCATTTTTAGCTCTTGAAACAAAAACTACAGAGTGCCCTTTATGTTATTTAGATGTTAAAAGGCATAGAATTGATTGTGTCATCACATACATAACTGGGTAGCATAAAGTAGTCATAAATATGTATTTGTGTCTTAAATGTATATATAGCATTAAATATGTGTGCTGGGTAGCTTTAGTGTCAACTTGACATACCTGGGTTGAGGGAGCCTCAATCGGGGAATCGCCTCTATTGGACTGGCCTGTGGCCATGTCTGAGGGGCATCTTCTTGATGAGTGATGTGGGAGGGCCCAGCCCACTGTGGGTGGGGCCACCCCTGGGCAGGTGGGCCTAAGCAGGCTGAGCAGGGGCCAGAGGAGCAAGCCAGTAAGCAGCATTCCTCCATGGCCTGTGCTCCAGCTCCTGCTTTCAGGTTCCTGCCCTGAATTCCTACCTTGGGGTCCCTGATGAACTGTGACCTGGGAGATGTAAGCTGAATAAACCCTTTCCTCCCCAAGTTGGTAGTGGTCAGAGTGTTTTGTCACAGCAATGAAGAACAAATCAGGACAATATGTATATTGCTTTAAATACCTGCATAGCAAATGTTCTGTGAACTCAGTAGCTTTCTGCAAAAATTTAAGGAATAAACTTGAATATTGACCTTATTTATTAAATATGAAATCACTACATATTTGTTGGTCATTAGCTGTGTTATGAGAGATAAGACTAAAGTTGTAACCTAGATCTGTTTACTCCATTTCCCCTTTGATCCCACATAATACAGTGATTCTCTTTTTACTTGTGAAATTAAAATAGCCTCCTCATAGTCACCAATATGCACCATTTCACTTCTTTTCTTTAAAATTTCTTTTTAAATTATTTTTATTTTATGTGTATGAGAGTATTGCCTGCATGTATGTAATGCACCTGAGTCATGCAGTGCCCACAGAGGTCAGAAGAGGGCATCAGATCCCCTGGAACTGGAGTTGTGGATGGTTGTTAGCTGCCATGTTGGTGTTGGGTATCAGTCCCCAGTCTTCTGCCAAGACAGCCAGTGCTCTTAATTTCTGAGCCATCTCTCCAGCCCCTCTTTTCTTTTTTAAATTGAGACAAGGTATAGCCCTGGCCAGCCTGGAACTTGCCATGTAGACCAAGCTGGCCTTAAACTCACAGAGATCTGCCTGCTTCTTCTGGAACCTGCAGAAGGCCCCAGTTTAATTCCCTGAACCCATGTCAGGCAACTTACAATCACCTGCCATTCCAGCTCCAGGGGATCGAACACCTCTGACTTCCTTGGACATTTGCACACACATGTGCACACACATCCATATCATTAAAAATAAATATTTTAAAAAATCATGTGCAGGCTTGATGGCTCAGTGGTACTTGCTGCCAAGCCTGATGACCTGAGTTTCAGCCCCAGTACCCACATGGTAGAAGGAGAGGACCAACTCCTGCAGGTTGTCCTCTGACTTCCACACAATATACACTGCTGTGTGCACACACACGCATGCACACACACACACACACATACACATACATAAAATAAAAAAATAATAATTCTCTAAACCTTGGGTTTTCTCTTTAATATTTTATTATTATGTGTATTTTAATGCAGATATACATAGTGTGCATGTGATGGTCAGGTCAAGTGATTTTACCTACCGAGCCATCTCACTAGTCCTAATCTTGAGTTTTCTTAACTTGTCTCCCAGTATTCAGATGACTTTCACTTTGGGGAAAATCTAGAATTTATCATTCACACTCTATTCTGGTTGCTTTGAGTACATGAGCCTTTTTCCCTGCAGACTTTGACCTGTAAGGATAACCTTCTAATACATCTCTGTTTTCTGTTTTAACATCCTTGGTGGAAGTATCTCATGTATTCTTGGCAATGTCTCTTAATTTGGGTATCCCTCTCATTGTTTATTGTTTAGTTCTATAAAATTCTTACATTTCATCCTGAAAAATAGATCAGGAGGGAGACAACACAATGAATGTCGTGCCCGGACATGCGATCTGCTCATCAAGCTCCAGTTACAGATGAGCTGTGAGTGACGGCATCATTAGTCAAGATTTCATTTTTTGTCTCTGTTTTTTGTGTATAGAAATATGTTACTTTTTGTTTTTGAGACTGCATCAGTTTGACTTCTCTCATAATTAAAAATTTAAGTGTCATATAAATATAGCTAAAAACATTCTTTATATGTAGGCAGTTGATGCAGAGGACAGAGAATTAAGGACAAATTAAAAAGATGTCAGTGAAATTTTTAAAATGGGGAGACACATTCTTACCATTGGTAAATATTTAAATTGTCTTTAATGCAAAAGTGATGGAAATGACAGGAGAATAAGGGAATGATTTAAGAATGCCTGGGCATTTAAGAAATGTAAGAAAGACTTCTTCCTTCTATTGTGATCAGGAAGACGAAAGCTAGCACATTGGAAGCAGGAAGTCATATTAGGAGCTGCCAGTCTAGTATTTAAGAGTAATGAAAAGGCTTACTTCTGTTAGATTTTTTTTTTTCTTTTTTGGTCTTTTTGAGATTTTTAATGCTTTCTCTCCTAAAGTTTTCTTCTTTTTAAGAAGGTGTGATTTTTTTTTTTCATACCAAATTCCTACTAAGGATTCCTCTAAAAATTTGAAAACCATATATTGTAATGTGGTTTTGCAAGTTATAATTGTTAAGGTTTGAAATTTGTGGCTTGAGGAGAATTGTTCCAGAATTCATTTAATCAATTCTTGTGCCTGTGCTCCACCCCCCCCCATCTCAGCCAGAATGCTTTTCTTCCTCTAGATAAGTGGAAAAAGGAGAAAATTTAGCCCCAAATAATAGTCAAGATAAAAGCAAGACATTCTAATTCTTGTGTCCACTTCTAGCCCTTAATATAAGTAGATACAAGAGAACCTTTTCAAAATAAAGTTCTGACTCTGCAATTACATTAGGAAAAGAGATTCTGGGACTAGGAATGAGTGATCTCTAGCACAGCTGTTAGAAATGTTTTCAGACAAATTAATTGCTTTCCAGAGATGATCTGAGTTTTCAGTCATAAATGGCCTTGATTTTTATATTTATTTGTTTTTATTTACTCATTTTTTTATACTGTGTTGTGGTTCTGGAAAGTACTAAAAAATAATCATGTATTTAAAACAAACAAACCAGAAAACCTCCTTGTCCTGGGGCTGTGTGAAGAAGAATGGAGCTCTCATTTCCTAGTATCCAAACATCAGCTTGAGCTAGCCTCTCCTAGGAACAGAATTTATTGAAGCAATTTATCCTGGCTAAATGTGGCATAAATCTGTGCACACGTATGTACATACAGAGTCTATTCCATTACAGCAGTGCTGGAGCATCAGTTTCCTTCATAGTTAGACCATGTTCCTATCATGTTGAAGGATGACCAAGAAGCCCTTTTATTTTATGGGGCACCCTACAATTTTAAACACCGATTAATTGTGGAATTAGCAATTGGACAACCAGAAATACTGGTTTCTAACCCCAAAGTGAGTCCTAAGAGAATAGGACTATTTGCCCTCTGCTTTTAAGCATAGTTTCTGGTTACCAGATTCATTCTAGCATGTTAACATTTTATTTTAATGCAGGCCTGACTGAGATTGACCTGACATTTTGGTTTATCTCCAGTATAAACTTTGAGATCTGGCTGCAGTTCTGAAATCATTTCCAGTCATACTCAAACGGTTGTTCCTCACCTATCTTCCCTGTTCACATTTCTGTGTATGTCTTTCTGTGCTGTGAAAGGCTATTTGAAAATGTCCTTTAGGAGTTTGCTCTGTAACACCTATTTTTATCCTTCCCATTTTTTCCTTCAACCCTTCCAAAATATTGTTTATCTTTCTATCTTTCAGGAATATTTTACTGTGATTTGCATTTCTAATTGTTATTCATCTCCACCTGTATTTTTATTCCTAGTTGGAATATAAGAAATTTCCCCAACATATTCAGGTTGTACTTACTGTTTTTGACAAAGAATTTTGATCAACATTTCAAGAGTTTAACTTCAGTCATTTAAAAAAGCAGTATAAATTCTCTTAAATTCTTCAGAGATATAGAGGGATGGATGGTGGTGCCTTTAAGTGCATTTCTTTTATCTCCTGCAGCAGCACACATCTGTTGGCTACACAGAGCAAGAACTCAGTCCGGCCGAAAGCAGCACAAACAGCCGGAACATATTCACCCAGTAAACCCCCAAAGAGTCGACATTTGTTTTATTGCTGCTTTTAAAAACCTAGCCATAAATAGAATGGGGGGGGCACTGATATCTCTCCATTTGCCACAGACAATTGGTTGGGGGAGGAGGAGGAGGAGGAGGAGGCTCCCAGTGGGGAGGGGAGGTTTTTATTTTTATTTTGTTATTAATGAAAATCATTTCCCATGTAGTCCAATAGGATGGGTGCTTTGTTTTCTTTGGCAATAATCTGGGATAAACGACCCTTGCCAACAGTCTCATAGTCTATACACCAGGGAGCCAGATTATAGCCCTGTAAAATGGAGCACCCCTCCTATAATCCCTTAATTAATTAAATGACAAATTTTGGTCTTCTGTAGTTCAGAAATATGGCTTCCGCATCGGGTGTTCAGTGGATTTATTGACATAGGGAACTGTACTGGTTGTAATTCAGCAGACTGGAGAAATGTGTTATATTCTGTAGCAGAAAGAGGGAAAATCTAGTAAAGGCTTGAAATTCCTTTGACTATTTAAGTGTAAATTTTTCTAATTAAAAGTTTCAGTTGAAGCACATTAGATCATATGCCACCTGTCTAATGGGTCTCCCCAAAGTAGCCTGTATTTACAGCTTTGATAGATGGCATTCTTGGAACACCTGTTTCTAGGCTTGATATTTTTGAAACACTTTTTTTTCCTCTCAAGCATATTTAACATAACTTTTCCCCTACTTCCCCCCTCCTCAGCTCTGCTCTGCTCTATGAAATATGGGAGACGACAGACCGTTTGTGTGCAATGCCCCGGGCTGTGGACAGGTACGTTTACAATATACTTTATTGTGGATACTTCGTTGTGAATCAAAGTGGCTGTTTTATCACTAAGGCAAAGAGTTTAAAGCCGGTATTTTACGTGATCACTGGAGGTAATCAGATCAGAGGATTTGCAGTGTGTAAATCCAGGTTATGAGGAAGTGTAGGCACTCTACTGTAATGAAATCTGCCTTGCTTTCTTCTATATTGTTATTCTACTGATATTTGTTCTCCAGCACACAGTATTGGAGAACACATGTTACTCTTTCTTCCTTTCTAAAGCTGTCCATCTAAATACAAAGCAAGTTTAGAAATGTCTTCTCAGCCTTCATGTATATAAAAATCTGCTTAACATATTTGGAAAGTAGGTTAAGAATGCTCCCATTCATTATAAAGCCCCCAATTCAGAGTCTGTGTGGATTTTTCAAATAAGAAAAAGAAGTATTTCTTTTCACTGTTAATTCAGAAAAGTCTTGTTAACAGCTAAGGCAGATATCCTATGTAGGAAAGACAAACCCAGCATAGAACTTGAGATCCAATAGTATTATACAAACGTTTTCCATCTGATACCATGAAATATATTGTTCTGTATGTCAGCTACTACATAATTGTTTGCATGTGTGTGTATTATATGTCAGATTTTTTTTCATCATATACTTTTTTCATAAAGTGATTTTGTTGAAATTGCCTTGTTTTTTAATTTGTGCATTCTTAACTCATCTTCCTAGGTCTTTCTGTAATGTCATCTTTCTACAATGAAAAAAAAAATGAATGAAAGCTTTAACTGACTTCATTTTATAGAAATTGAACTCTGTTCAGCTAGGAATATGTCATGTGACTGTCCAGTGACACTCACTGGTGGTATGTGAGATTGCAGACTGGTTCTATTAAATATTGTAATTATTTAAACATCAAGAAGAGCTAAGTCCTAGAGGTCCCTAAGAATTGGAATTTGAGAAGTAGATGAGATAGAGGTGATGACAAGAGTAGAAGGAAGGTTCCAGATCTTAATAAATGCTGAAAAATGCAGATAAGACACTTAACAAAGCCATTGTATCCTTTATATTTTGTAATATTTAGCATTTAGCATCCTAGGATGTATTTTATTCCTTGTCAGAGCTTTTTTACTTTTTCTTTTCTTCACTTTTTTTGGGGGGAGGTCCTTTTTCAGACAGGGTCTCCCTGTAGCCCTAGCTGGCCTATGCAGACCAGGCTGGCCTGGAACTCAGAGAGATCCACCTGGCTCTGCCTCCCAAGTTCAAAGGCATGTGCCACCATACCCGGCCCCTTGTCAGAGCTTTTAACTTTATTATTAACTGCTTCTACTTTAATTTTCAAATATCTTTATTAAAGTATATATGTGAAAATGATCCCTCCAAATTTTTTTGTGTGAATTTCATGATACTGTTTGCTATGACTCCTAGAACTGATACCTAATACCCTTGCACTACTTGAAAAATCTGAATTTTGGGTTTTTGGGTAAATTTTTTTCCTCTTTTTTTTTTTTTTTGTCTTTTTGAGACCTGGTCTACCTGTAGCCCCAGCTGTCCTGGAACTCGCTATGTAGACCAGGCTAGCTTTGAACTCACAAAGATCTACCTGCCTCTGCCTCCCAAGTGCCTGGGATTAAAGGTGTGCACCACCATTCCCTGCCCTATTTTCCTCATATTTTTATCATTTATTGTTTAAGGTACACAAGCAAGGTCTTCTCAAATAAAAATGAATGATAGAAATAAGGAATACATAAGAAAGACACCTTGTAAGTTCTCCAAGGAAGAAAAATGGAAATAGCATCTCTTCAGGCTATCTTACTGGAAAAGAGTAATATTCACTGAAATTTGTGTCTGTTTATTTGTTTTTTGTTTTGCTGTAAAAAATATTTTATGCCTGGCCTAGTGGCACACTCCTATAATCCTAGCACTTAGGAGGTGGAGGCAGGAGGATCAGTTGTTTGAAGTTGGCTTCAGCTGTATACTAAGCTTGAATCTAGCCTGAGCTACATGAGACCTTGTTTTGTGGGAATGGTTCACACCTATCACCACAAAGGCAGGAAGGTCACTATGTGTTTGAGGCTAGCTTGTGCTACAGCTGGCAAGATGGATGAAAGACTGGAAGTACTTGCTCCAGAAACCTGACAGCCTGAGTGTTATTCTGTGTCCCATGATGGAAGGGTGGGAAGAGAGAATGGACTCGCTAAAGTTGTCTTTTGACCTCCACATGAACACTGTGGCACATACACACCTATACTTGCACAAACATCTTAAGCACACACAATAATAACAAACAAAAATAAGGCTTATAAAAGTTTTATTTATTTTAATACTAGAGATAGGAAAATAGTAAAGACTTTTGCTTTGACTCTTACATGTTTGTTGGGGTTTGTTTACTGTAAGTTTTTGTCTTCTGCTTTTCTTGTGCATTTATGAATTCTGTGTTGGTTTCTTGTTTTTATACATAAAGCTTTATTCAGGGACTGGAGAGATGGCTCAGTGGTTAAGAGCACTGGCTGCTCTTGCAGAGGACCTGAGTTTGATTCCCAGCACCCACATGGCGGCTACAAACCGTCCTTAACTCCAGTTCCAGGGGAATCCAAAGCCCTCTTCTGACCTCTGCGGCATTGCACAACACAGGTGCACTCACATACATGTAGGCTATACACTCATACACATAAAATAAAAATAATTTTTTAAAAAACAAAAAGCTTTATTCACCGTTAACTCCTTGAACTCACAGAGATCTGCCTGCCTCTGCCTCCCAAGTGCTGGGACTACAGCACCACGGCCTGGCTTGAAAGCTTTTTTAAAAATATCTTTAAAAAAATATTTATTTATTTTTATGTGTATGAGTGTATTGCCTACATTTAAGTGTGTAAGTGCACCCATGTCATGCAGTGCCCACAGAGGTCAGAAGAAGGCATCGGATCCCCAGGAATCCACCATGTGGGTGCTGGGAATCAAACCCAGGTCCTCTAAGCCATCTCTCCAGCCCCCAGAAAGCTTTGTATCCCTAGTCGGAAGGTGAGTGTGGAACTTGGAACCTGAGGAAATTATTCCATTCTTTTGGAATAAGTTATTTGTTTCATAGAAAAATGATAGAAAGCCACAATTTAAGAGTTTGGTGGCAGCCGGGTATGGTGGGGCACATCTTTAGTCCCAGTACTTGGGAGGCAGAGGCAGGCAGATCTGAGTTCGAGGCCAGCCTGGTCTACATAGTGAGTTCTAGGCCAGCTGGGACTACAGAGAGACCCTGTCTGAAAAAGACCAAAAAAAGAAAGTTTGATGGCAATATAATTCATCCCTTTTCCTTCTTTACACATTAAAACTATGTTCATTCAAGTGAGAGTGTAGGTCTCAAGTTATATTTAGTCTCTTTCTAAATTTTCTTCCAAGACCTGGTAACAAATAGCACTGGAGGAGCTCTCTACAAATGTACTTGTTTTTTTAAAAAATATTTATTTATTTAGTTATTTTTTTATGGATAGAAGTGTATTGCCTGCATGTATGAGTGCACCCATGTCCTATAATGCCCTCAGAGGTCAGAAGAGGGTGTTGTATCCCCTGGAACTGGAGTTACAGAAGGCTGTTAGCTGCCATGTGGATGCTGGGAATCCAACCTGAGTCTTCTGTAAGAACAGCCAGTGCTGCTGAGCCATCTCTCCAGCCCCTACAAGATGTACTTACTTGTATATGAAATAGTGAAAATGTGGCAGAGAAGACAGATTTGGTAAAGTTAGCTGTTATTGGCATGCCTTTCGGCTTTCCTAGATCTTGAGAATGACTTCAGTCTGGAACCATTCTGAGGCTTTTGAGTTGCTTGTAGTACATTTGCCATTGACTCAGATTATTTGTTCCAGATATGTGTTGCATAGCAAGACTCTATCTCAAACAAACAAACAAACAAACAAACAAACAAAAACCACCAACAACAGTGCCTTCTACCAAGTAGAGAAGGAAGGAAATGAAAGGAAATTATAATTTGAGAGTTCTTAAAAAGTAATCAAAGAGAATTAAGGGAGTTTTACATTGTTTTTGTATCTGTACAAACTTTACTCTATGCACCCTAAACCCAGAAATCATACTGTAGTTTAATATTAAGGAAAAGTACAAGGAAATTGTACCTAAAATAGACAAGTATATTCTCCACTACATAATCAAAACCACCAGGCTTTCAATGGATACATAAACATGTTTTGGTTGCTAGGTCTTTAATGGCTGTTATTTTTGGATTGTGTTCATGATCTGCTTCTCAACAGTAAGTCTGATGTGACACAGCTGAGTTCTAAATATGCTACATGTACTTCAAAAAAAAATGCTGAAGGTTGTGCTGTCTGCATTTTACGTGAAAAAAATGATAGGCTTGTTGGCCCTCTTATTCCTATTCTCCTATTGAGACTGTGTCTTTTGTAGACCTCTGCACCCTTATGAAGAGGAACTTGGGGAAAACAATTCTTGCTAAAACCTCTCTATGGAATGTAGTACTGGGAGTCATTAGTAGAGCTGCCTCCTGAGAATGGGTTAGTGTTAAGGCAACAGTGCTCTGGATACCTTCCTGACAGAGGACTAGTTGGAGTTGTATGGACTTTTGAATATTTATAAGGTACTATCTATTTAAGAGCCCAATGCACTTGAGCACACCTGTAATCTGAGCTCCCTGGTAAGCTAAGGCAGGAGGATCACAAGTTCAAGGCCAGCTTAGGCAATTTACTGAGACCTTATCTCAAAAAATGAAAAAGCTGAGGTGTAGCTCTGTGTCAGAATGCTTGCCTAGTATTCTAAGAAAAGAAAAACCAATCCATTTAAAAACACTAATTATAAAACAGCTTTGCTGGCACTAGAGAGATGGCTCAGCAGTTAAGAGTACAGACTACTCTTACAGAGGACCCAGGTTCAGTTCCCAGCACCAACATGGCGGCTAACATCCATAACTCCAGTTCCAGGGAATCCAATGTCTTCTAACCTCCTCAGGCATTGCATGACTCTGGTGCACTTAGACACATGCAGACAATA